GAGTTTCTCTAACCGACAACCACCATTATGAGCCTAAGTGGTGATACAACGTCTTTCCCATGCTACCAGAACTGTCATATACTTTGCCGTCATATAGGACGCCTTAACTAAGTGGATCCTCTAATCTATGCTAAAAAACACTCAAGGAATCATCTAAAAAAGTATGATCATTTACTACCCATGATGGCTACATGGTTTATGGAGACTTGAGTTATTATGAACTCGCATCCCCATATCGGGTGCTCAATACTACTTCCAAAAATATACTTAGCTCATATGTTTTTAAAACAAAACTTCTTTTTTGGTTTGAGATAATTACTCAAAACTTAGCTTAAAAGCTCTCTTGGAATCGATGTTTCCTTTCTTGCTCAAATGTGAAGACATTTTTAACTCGTGGGAATACTTAGTTTCCGTATAATCTTTGAAGAAATGAACTTTTACTCTTACTCTTTACTCAGCTCAGAGATTAAGTTTTAAAAGAAAGTTAAAACGTTTGTAAAAGAATTTTGGAAAACTTTATTAATTTCTCTTAACTTGACTCTTAACTTTCCTTGAATTGAATTATGGATTCAAGGATTGTGATTTGTGATAGGAACAATTCTCATGATGTTAGGAATGTTTTTAAATAGTTAAACATGAGAAAAGATCAAGAAATCACTATCTGGAAACTAGTCCACGACGCGGAGATGTATTTAAATATTTGGTTGCAAAAATAAATTTGAGGCAGAACGGTCTGTGACCGCTCTGCGATGTGAGGAGAAAATTGTCAATTCTAAGGAACAGGTCCGCGACGCAGACCTGGTACCCAGATTTGCCTGACTTGTTCCTTCTTCGTTTTCTAACCCCAATTCTCTTAAACTCAGTTCTTTTTCTCAAATTCCCTTTAGATTCAGATACCCAGTATGTATACACAAGAGTTTAACTCAAACAACTCAAAGAAACAACATTTTAACCTCAAGGAATTCCTCAATCTCAACCTAACTCAAGAACGAAGGCCAATTTCAAGAACACCATTCAAGATTCATCAACTTTCAACTTTCTAGAACGAACTTCACTGAAATAAACGTGATTGGAGCGTGGTTAACGAACCCAATGCTATGAAAGACTCACATACCTTGTAGGATCAAATCCTTGGCGAAACCTGCAATCAATTCCTCACGAAGACAACGAAATCTTGAATTTTCTTCTCCTTTACTCCTCTTTTCTCTTCTCTCAAAGCCGTAGCTTAATTCTCAATAGCGTAAACTGAATTAACTCAGTTTACACCCCAAATATTTTACTAAAAATGGATTTAATTAATTGGGTAATGAAAAGACCATAATGCCCTTCTAAAATCCGGATTACACTATCCTTATTTGAACAACCAACTTCAAATGGGCATATCTCACTCATACAAACTCGGAATCGCGCAAACTCGGTGGCGTTGGAAAGATAATTTGAAGATCTTCCCTACAGTATCTTGAACCACACCTAACTCATCCACTAGGAGTTATGGTCATTTGAAGTTGACCAAAAACTCAAAATTAACTTACTTAACAAATTTTCCAGATTTTCATTCTTTCCAAAAACAACTCTTTCTAATTCTAGCTCTCCCTAGTTCTTTCAAATAGTAATATGTTACACCAACATAAAATCATTTTTTGTTCTTAGATAAAAGCAATCCTACATAAAGAAATTGATTAAACACACAATATGCCAAGAAAGGTAATGTGAAGCAAAATCTCATTTTTAATATGAAATATGTGATCAAAGAACAAAAACCTGTCTATTCTACATGATTTTTTACATGTTAGTTGTTACACATGATCTCTTTTGCAATTGAGATGTGGAAAGCAAAATGTGATGAGAGCATAAAGCAATCAACAAAGACAAAGTGTTAATACCTTCAACTCAAGATATCAATAATGTAAAATGCACATCAATCAGTTGACTTGATGCCTACTGAAAAAAATAATTGGAGATGAAGCATGACATGTAGGAGAAACATGCTACATTTTTAAACAGCAACAACTGAAAATTAATATGTCGGAGCAGAGTTCTCTGATGGTTATTTACTCAGAAATAAATCCTCTGTTTCCACAATCAAATGTCCCAATTCCAATTACTTTTGCAGCTTAAATACATTCTGGATAACAAATAAGAGCATAAAATAATCAACAAAGACAAAGTCTTAATACTTCCAACTCAAGAAATCGAAAGTGTAAAACGCAAAACGATTTATTGACTTGATGCCTACTGAAAAAAAATATGAGGGTGTTTTTAGCTTAAAGTCTTTCTTCTTTGCTAATATTAAATCCATATGTTTAGAGAATTTTTACTAAGAATTTCGAGGCTTACTTGTTGAAGAGTGTTAAATGAGTTCGCACAGTCCCATTCCTGTGTATCTTTAAAGAAAAGTGAAGCATTTACAATTAACCATGTATGTTATGCTAAGGGCAAGGCACAATGAGAAATTGAAAAAGAACTGATGAAGCATTACATAGACCATACAAGTTGAAAGTGATATCCATCTAAAGTAACATCTTCTTCATACTTCAGGAAAATCTTTGCCTAAGTTTTCCAGGGACATGCCATGTTCCTTCATCTGACACAGCAACATGGGACCTTTTTATATTTAATGATACGTTCTTCATTTTCTTGAGGTACATCTATGTCTTCTCATCAGTTTTCCACAACCGCATATGAAGAAGAACTCAAGGATCACAGTAAAGTTTCAGAATTGTTTGGTGCTCGAAAACTAAATATGACATTTCAACATTAACTATGTGTAAAAACACTTTAAAATAACATAAAAGAACTGAAGAATTATATTAATCTCTATAATAATGAACCAAGAACATTTGTAAATACATGACAGGCAAAGATACAATCAAAAAGTTGAAGCTATGTTAGGTTGTTAAGAGAAAATGACATAAATAGTCCCTTAACTATAGTAGTAGATCTAAAATGGTCCCTTAACTATACTCTTAACGGATTTAGTCCTTTAACTATTCAAAAATTTATTACCTTTGGTCTCTTAACTATACACTTACCGATTTTAGTCTCTTAACTATAGACTTACCGATTTTAGTCCTTTAAATATTCAAAAATTTATCAGGTTTGGTCTTTGTCCATTTTGTTTAAATACAAATAGCTTAGGTTTATAGTTAAGGGACTATTTATGTCATTTTCTCGTTGTTTTAACAAATTGACTAAACAAGGTTTGATGGTTTCTTAGAAATGGAATATATTCTCACAATTTTTCTGAAAAATGGGAAGTCCAATTCTCACCTCGCAATATGACTCGTCAATAACATCATCAACCAACTTCTTTACAGTGGTCACTTTTTTATTCTCACTGAAAGAAGAGGGGAAAATATGTCAGAGAAGAAAACTAGAAGCAGGAAAACTCATACTGCTATTCAATTATTTCAGACATTTTATCAAACACCACATGTGCATTAGTGTGGAAATCATGTACAAACATAACATGCATGTTAAAATATTTATAAGTCAAAAAGTTGTTTCACAATTTTGGAAATTCAGTTAACAAAAAAATAAACTAAAAAATGTTTTTTTTTTAATTTTACAAAATCCGCAACTTTACTTTGTTGACAAATTTAAATTTTTTCTTTTCCTTTTGATTAGCCTTTTTAGATTATTTTCCCTTTTTATAATCTGTTTTTTTTTAAAAAAAATCCTTAATAAATCTCTCTTATATAATTTCATTTCTTTGTATTTATTCCAACATTATTTTTCAATTCTCACTTTTTCCTTATTTTCCTTTCCATTTTTTCATCATTGCTTATTCAATTCCACCGAGAAAACATCAGCAATTAGCATCGTATCTTAAAATAATCAAGTTAACTTATCTTTAAATATTTACTAATTTATGGAAATTGTCAAAAATCAATTCTCTTAATTAAATTTTTCTTATTTTCATGATTCATATTTTATATGAAAAATCTAAAAATAACTTCATAATAATTTTGATTATATTTCGCCGATAAGTGCATCCACGAACGCACTTGAATTTTTTTGGCAATTATTCTCGATGCTAACTTTTAATAATGATCTTGCTCTTATTATTTCATTGAAAAGTTTCAAATTAATTTTGCTATTTTATATGGGTAAACTACATAAATTCCACTAGTTTAGATCATAATTACTAAGATTCACAATAGTTTCAAATATTACTTCGTGTACCATATTTCTTCCTTTGGATACATGTATCATTACTCGTCAGATACATGTAATCTGACGATTTTAAAAATTGAGATACATGTTTTATTTGTTTGAATTAAATGGTTGTAACTGATTTCCTTAATTAAAGGAGTAATTGAGGATTTTCAGAATATATGAACAATTAATTATGAAATTTAATTTATCAAATCCCTTAATATAATGCGGAAATCAAGGAGTGTATCTATGGTTAATTAATTTCATTTTATTACTTTTTTAAATAATAATTTTTTTAATATTATTGATAAAAGACCAAAACATGTATATTTTTGTTATGTACTCTTGAAATAATAAATTCATTAATTTGATGTATATATTATCAATATAAGATGTATCCAACAAACTAAACACTTAGATACATGAGTGTACAATTGCACATATACATTTATATGTATCATGAACACGTACTATACAGTTGCATATATACATTTATATGTAGAAAAAAGACATAAAGTCACCACTAAAGTTGTCCTGAATTTTCAAAAAAACATCTTAACTTTACGAGCATCCTATTAACCCACAAAAGTATTGGATATCTTTGTAAAATGATCATTTTGACCCATTTTCTCACTATCTTTGTGAACACTAAAATAACAACGCGTGAAGGTTTATTTTAACTGCCAAAACCCAATTAAAAAATGCCACATTTCAACTGTTTTCTTTATTAATTAATTAAATAATTAAATACTTCATCTTCCCCAAATTTGATGTTGGAGAAGATTTTTTCAAACAAGTACTTTTAGGAATCAACAATAGTGACATCAACCTCGACACCAGGTTCAGTGGTGATTTGCTTGACAACATCTCGGAGCTGAAAAGGTCAATTCACACTCGTGAACCTGCAACTCAAACTTGTCCCATGTATTTGTGCCTTCTCCACAGGAAGACTTCCTAGGGATAATGTTAAGAACCTTTGTTGGCATTTCTACAAGTCCCTTTACTCTGAAACTTCTGTCCTTAGCACCACAAATCAAATTCGTACACATTTTCTCAAGATTCTTAACATTTTTGGTAGAGAGAGTTGTCTTAATCAATCTCCTCTCGGGCCCCTCTAGCCCTAGTTTTGTCGGCTTCATTGTCACATACACCATACTTTAATTTGATGAAGAAGATGAAGACCTAGCCGCAACTTCAATTTTCTTTAAGGAGGGTGGGAGAAAATTTCAATGGAAAAGAAGAGAAAATTTGAAAAATGAAAAAGAAAAGAAATGGAAGTGTTTTTGTTAAAATTCGGGTCGGATTTTTCTCACTTTTATTAATATTTAAATTTAATTAAAATGGTCAAAATGGTGAGCATCACGCACCTCTTCATAGATGAGGAAATTAGTCAAAATTGTCTATGTACAAGGGTATTTAATACTTTTATGGGTAATAGGACACATGCAAAGTTAAAGTGTCTTTTTAAAAATTTGAGACAACTTCAGTGACTTTATGTCTTTTCTCTTTATATGTATCATGAACATGTACTAGCCTCTTAGATACATAAAAAAAACTGATGGACTTTGATCAGATGGACATAAAAACATACAATCAGGAGTGTCATGAAGACATATTAATATCTTATTCCATATGAATAAGTAGACTATGATACATGGGTGCACAAGTATATTCATATGTATCATAGAAGTATCTCATATTAATTTCATTTATTTGTTATATGTATCTAGTATTAATTTTATGTATCTATATTTATGACCTAGTATAATTTCATGTATCTAGTATTAATTTGATGTATCAAATATCAATTTTATAAGTTATAGCCAAAAACATGTATCTTGTCCTCCTTCTTCTTCTAGTCAATTTTTTTACTCATATCCACTTGCTGGTAATACAGAACTATCAAGTATTGATTAGCGACATTGAAGGCGGAGAAATGATCGATGATGGTTTTTGCATCATATATATCTTCATGAACGACGAAAGCAGTTCCATGCGTAGCCTTAGTTGTGTCAACACGAATCCACATTATAGCACCGTACTTGCCGAAGATATAGTACATCTCCTCGCTTGTAATGATGAACGGACCTCCGACAGTAGCTGAGTATTGTCCTTTCAGAGACTTAACGGCGCCATACTTTCGCTGGAATAAGAGAGAATAAGTTTAGCCTCTTTTACTTAATAGTTTCGCTGGAAGATGAGCAAGAATCAGTTTTGATATTAAGAGGATGAAGGAAGGGAGAGAAATGATGGAGGGGTGGAGGACGTGAGGGAGTAGAGATATTGTTGGAGTAGGGGATTGACAGAGGAAATGGTAGATGAGAGAGAAAAAAATTATTAATATATGATATAAAATATTAATATTGGTAATATATGTAATTATTTGAAATTAGATGTAATTTTAGTATATATGATAGGGATGTATGTCTACTTAAGTAGTTTTTCCATATTATATATCTTATTTCGTTTCCTCCTTAGAAATAAAATTAACTACACAAAGTAGTCTTTATTGATAGGTATTGATAAGATGTCATAAACTTGAACATTAAGTAACTGGGGGTGATAAAAATGTATTAGATTTGGAAGTTGTAGATATTACTAATACTAATTAAGAATATAAGTTATGAAGATGAAGACGTGTAAGTTATAAATCTAAATAAATAGATGGATGTGCTTATAGTTTTTTAAAATTATAAATTCTAAATTATTACTTATTTTGTCTATTTGGGTAAAATACTTTTTTATTTTACCCAAACATTATAAAAGAACTTAAAAACTGTTTTACATTTAAAACACTAAAAATAAATTATTTCAAACGGGCTCTAAGTGAGATTTGTCTAGTTATATAAAAATTATATTATAAAATCTTCATATAGTTCGACATATAAAAACTTAAATAGGTTCAACTTGCAAGAACTTATAGCTTCAAATGTACCATCTCAGATAATAAAATAAATTATAATTTAAATGTCATACTTACTGAACAACCCATTTCCATCTATTAAATTTGCTTTTGCAAAAATCTTCTTCAAACTTTTTCACAATAAAAAATGAAAATACCAATAAAAATAATACACTTAAATCAATTATCTCACATGAGATTCAATATTTGTCAAGTAAATTTCATGCGAGAAAAAGTGTCTTACTCAAAAATATGTGTGATAGACTGAATAAGATTCCGATTGATATGAACTTTGTAACATCCCGCAACTAGAAAGAGCTAGAATTAGAAAGAGTCATTTTTGGAAAGAATGAAAAATCTGGAAATTTGACAAAATTAAGTATGAGTTTTGGGTCCACTTCAAATAACCATAACTCCTACTCAGGATGATCTAGGTGTTCTACAAGATACCGTAGGAAAGATCTTTGAATTATCTTTCCAACGCCGCTGAATTTTCTCAGTTTCAAGTTCGTATGAGTGACATATGCCCATTTGAAGATGGGCTGTCTAGATAAGGAAAGTCAAAACCAGATTTTAGAAGGGTATTGTGGTCTTTTCACTACCCAATTATTTGATTTCGTTTTTAGTAATTAAGTTGGGGTCTCAACTGATGGGATTTAGTTTACTCTGTTGAAAAATAACTTAGGGGTTTAACAGAAGAGAAAAGAAGAGGAAAAAAGAGAAGGAGAAGCAAGGAATCGCCAAGTCTTAAAGAATTGCTTGTGGATTTCGTCAAGGGGTGATCCCTACAAGGTATGTGAGATCACATAGTGTTGGGTTAGTTCACCCACGCACCAATCATGATTTGATTCAGCGTAATTACGTTCTCGAAAGAATAGTTTATGAGTTCTTGATGAATATTGTTGAAAGTTTCGTTTGAATCTTGATTGTTGAAGTTGTTGAGAAGTTCTTGAGTTAGATTCATGAAATTAGATGTCGTTTTGAGTAGATTCTTGCATATTTTGATTATGTATTCGAATCTAAGCGTTTGGGGAAATAACCAATTGAATCAAGAGGGTTTAGAGTTCAAAAATGAGCGAGAAAAATCGGGGAAATTCTGGGGAAAGAGGTGGGGCACCACGCCAGCCATAGCGCCCCACTTTCTGTTTCGTAGTTTGGGCTCTGGGGTGCCGCGCCAGTCAGTGCACCCCATCCCCAATTTTGAAGTTTAAGCTATGGCCTCCCGTGCCACTCAGAGCGCCAGGGACGCCAGGTTTTCTACCCTTTCCCACTTCTTTCCATACTAGTTCCTTTGAAACGTACCTATGTTTCCTAGTTGATTCCTACACTATAAGGTACGTCTAAACAACATGAAATCATAAATAACATGAGATCATGAACATTGAATCCATAATTCAATTCAAGGGAAGTTAAAAGTCAAGTCAAGAGAAGTTCATATATAGAGTTTTCCAAAAGTCTTTTACAAATGTTTTAACTTTGTTTTAAGACTTGAGTTTTGAGTTGAGTAAAGTGTAAAGATTGAAGTTCATTTCTTCAAACGAGTATATGGGGACTATGTATTCCCAAAGAATAAAATGTTTTCACATTTAAGCAAGAAAGGAAACTTTGATTTCCAAAAGAGCCTTTGAGCTAGTTTTTCAGTAAAAAGTAAATGCTTTTACAATTAAGCAAGAGAGGAAACTTTGATTTCCAAGATAGCCTTTGAGCTAAGTTTTGAGAAATTATCTCAAACCACAGAAAAAAGAGCTAGTATGATATTTTGGGAGTAGTATTGAGCACCGATATTGGGGAGAGTTTAGACAACTCGCAGCCCCCATAAATCATGTAGCCATCATGGGTAGAAAAGAGTCATACTTTTTAGATGATTCCTTAGTGATTTTTAGCATAGACTAGTAGATCCACTTAGTAGTCAGGTTGTATACCCTCGGCAAGGTATATGATGGCCTCGGCAGCGGGAGGCAAAATGTTGTATCATCATAATAGCTCTTACGTGATGGCGGTCGGTTAGAGAAACTCCCATAGAAGTATTTTGTATTATTATATACACAGAGTTACTTGTATTTTCATATACATCAAGAGTTTATATTGTATCTTTTCATACATACAGAGTTACTATTGTATTTCTAAATACACAAAGTTGATACCCATGTTTTAACGCTTTTCTTTATAATGCAGTTATTTATACTACTTTATATTGAAATGAGTTCAGTTGAGTTGAGTTGAGTTGAGACCAGGTTTCTTCATTCAGTTACTTTCAAGCTTATGTCTTGTTTTAGTATTCTCCTCGCATGCTCGTACATTCAATGTATTGATGCCATTTGGCCTGCATCTTTTTATGATGCAAATACAGGTAACCAGGATTCTAGTTGAGCTTCAGAGTTGTTGGTGAGCCTCTTTGCTTCCGGAGGATCCCTTTTATTGCTTTCATTATGTTTAGTTCATTAGGATGTTGTGGGTCTTGTCTCGACGTCCATCTCAGTTGTTAGAGGCTTCATAGACAATCATATGTTAGTTCTTGTCATTTCATTTTCATTCTATTATGTTGAGACTTTAGTCGCCACTTTGGCCAGTGAATGTTATTTTATTACATTTTCAGTTATATGTGAGTTTTCCATTTACATTTAAAGGTACATTTATGTTGAGTTAAGTCTTCCGCTGAGTAAGTAAGCCAGGCCAAGGGTTCGCTTGGGGCCAACAATGGTTCTCTAGTGCCAGTCCCGCCCAGAGTGTAGGCTCGGGGTGTGACAAATTTGGTATCAGAGCATAAGGTTCAAGAGTCCTAGGGAGTCTTTGAAGCCATGTCTGTAGAGTCCTGGTTATCAGTGTGAAGCGTGCCACATCTATAATTAGGAGGCTGCAACACTTAGGAACTATCTCACTTATTTCGTACTCATTTTGTGCGATAAAGTGCATCTCTATAAAAGTTCCCTCTAACTAGTGCTTGCGCGTGTCTTTCAGATCATGCCTCCACGAAGAGCTGCCAAAGGTCATCCGACTAGAAGAAATGTTGAACCACATGAGTACGGGGTACCTAATGCACCAGAAGTGCAACCCTAAGGAGAGGTCACCAATGCTGAGTTCCGTGAGGCCATCCAGATGTTGAGAGAAGTTGTGACCAACCAAGCTGGGCAACAAAGAGAGAATTGACGGGAAGTGGCTGATACTTCAAGGATCCGTGAATTCTTAAGGATGAATCTGCCAAGCTTTATTGGTTCAAGTGTTACTGAGGATCCAGAGAACTTTGTTGAGGAG